AGTTCTTTCGAAAGATTGTAGGTCGCTGTTCCAGGAAGTGATACAATTGGCCGGAGAGGTATTGATTCTTTGTGTACCTTTGGGAGTCCGTAGAAGCGAGGAATGGCCGAATCACGAGGCCTCATTCTCCAATAGTCCTCTTTTGTAATCTTGTGGAGATCTTGGAGTTGCTTCAAGTTCGAGCTACCAATATTTCAACAAATTACCAATTGGCCAAATTGCTATCTATGGAAACACTGTATGTAAGTGCCATGGTCAAACATCAGGGTAAAAGAGGCGTACTTGGGCCAGTGTGAGTGTTCTTGAGGGAGCCGTCACATAGTGGTGCAGTTTGAGTTTGTCAATTCTTATCATAAATGAAGTCCGAATCTGACGTTTTTACCTGGAATTAGACCAGGTAGAAATCATCAAAAATATATGAATGTAGCTAGAAGACAGTTTGGTACGGTTCTCAGCACAAATCATTTCAGAGTGTTTATTACAAAACGAGTTGCCTCTTGTCAGTGTTCCCGATCTTCCTTATGGTGTGATTCCCCGGTTCATCATGTGAAGAACCCTCTATGTCTGTGGACCAGTACAATAGCAGTGGACAGGGCACCCCCAAACCATTCGCGAAAAGTTACATTCCAGGCAGTGGAACCGACACTAGTTGGCGCGAACGTTTTGCGTGCTTTGTGGATAGAAACCAAAAGGCAGTTGGTGCATCGATTGGCAGCAAACGAACAGAAGGTATCCACCAAATACCGAAAGATTGACGGAACAGCTCCCGAAATTCAGCTAACGCTCTCGAAAGATGGGGGTGAAATCTTCAAATGCCTGAACTCAGCTTAGATTCCAAACGATGACAAATCATCTAATGAAGCGCCTCCTGCATGGCCATACTTGACCGGCTTTCGGGAGAACCATTGGATCGGAAGGGTGGCTCTGTCTTTCGGCCCGCCAGGTTACAGAATTTTAATTAGATCAAGCTACCTAACACCACCTGGTGACAACTGCAATAACTTCTTGCTTTCAAGCAGTATGCAATAGGCACGCACCAGTAAGCGCGAAATTCACAAATGTCTTGACGCACGCTATGTATTTAAAGTGGATACTGTAAGTCAGTCTCTATGCGGGACATGGATTGAAGGTCTTAGGAACTGAACAAGAGGCTCGGATTCCGTAATAGGGTGCATGATGTTGCGTTCATGTAAGAAGTTTCCATTGCCTAGGTTATCTCATTTTTACATCGAGGGGCGGTAAACAGATACGGGGACCATTTAAAAATGGCCCCGGTATACCTTCAAATAAACTCAGAACAGCCTGATGAGGCTTCGAGTGACTATAATGAAGAAGCTATGGAGGAAATCAGTACATTTTCGTGTAAAATGGAAGCACACCTAATGGACTCCAGCAGATGAAACCTGTCCCGGGATTGGTCCGCGCACGCGTCAACTTCTCATGAAATGGCTCCCAAATCAAGTTACTTACAAAGATGACGTACGAATAAGTGCTGAAAACAACTTCGTGTTGATGGGAGATAATCATTATATACATAAAGAACACGCTGCCCAACAAGCAGTTACGCCCAACGCCGCTACCATAGAAACTACTCTGCGTAGGTAAAGTGAACGAAAGTTTATCCGGTTACGAATTAATCAACTAAACAGAAAATAGTAAATACTATAGAAGCGTTCCTTTTACCCCAACAATACGAGCTACGCCCAAGTCCCGGCAGTCATCTGATACTGCTTCGGGGTACATTTTAAAGTCACAAATTCGAAGCGTCCGAGCATGGTACGATTAAATATAGAATGATAGCGCAGAAGGAAATCACCAAGTTTACAGCGCAGCCGAAAAAAACTGGCATATGTATTTCGGTTTGGGGAGCTGAACGAACAGCCCGGAAATGAAATGGCCATACCCTGTAAGGTCAAGTGAGGGTCAGTCAACGCCAGACTACATGCTAAAGGATGTAAAGTGCACATCTTGTCTATGTGTAAACCAAACGCTCTTCCGACCAGCCCAANCCGGGCTGGATGTCACTAAAGATCCCAAGGAATTAAAAAATCAAATATCTCGTCACAATGGAACCTTGCGACCGTTCCCCACTTATTTAGCACGGTGATTTGGGGCATTCCGGAGGCTAATTTTTCAGGCCTCAACACACGTAATACTCACAAAGATAATTCCCAAAATGAACTGAGCGAAATACGGAGACAAGTTTATTGGTATCAATCATACGACCAGATTTCGATACAAATGCACCAACGACTGCATTGCGTGCAGTAGTAGCAAAAGAGTCAATGAACTGGGAATAAAACAGAGAATATGAAAATTGCTTTCCAGATAGCGTGATCTCATAGGTCGGAGCTGACGACTTGTTTTTAGTACAACCGTTTTTCATATCTGAAAATAGATGATACATGGGATTCATGGAGTAGAATGATGAAGGAAAACAAATCAACCTGGGAACTGATAAATGAAACGTATTCGGCGCACTATTTCACACGACAATCATGAGGTTGGTACGGTATCCTAAGTGAATGTTCGTGAAACTGTCCAACAAGATCACCGTACGACGACCTTATTGTACCTGACAAACTCGTGACAGTAATAGATTGACTCAGCAGACACAGGTGAGGCAGATGTGTGGGTTGATATCGGATACATGTCAAGGTATGAAATGGGATGACTAGAAAATGTAGTACCTTGTAGGAGGGATCATTATCGGATCACCATAGCTGTGTAGGCATAACGCCAAATCCCAAGTGCTGGATTCTTCTACACCGATCCTCCTGCCATGGGAGGAGTCTTGGAAGAGAGAGCATTCCCCCGAGAGTGTTATCAGCAACCTAATGCCTAATAACTTCCAAAAAGTGGTGACCAACCAGGAAAAGTGGAAAATCTCTTTCTATTTTCAGAACCACTGCGCATTAGCGTAGCACTAACTTCTTATAACGATAGGATATTAATATGTCATTATAATTTGGAGAGCCAACAGCATAACCCACTTTGTGGTACGTGTTCTGATTGCGTTGAAGACAGTGTCATTAGACACCAAAAGCGTTCTGATTACGTTGAAGGTAATGTCATTAGACACCAAAAACATAGCACTTCAAAGTTGCTGGGAAAACTCAAGAGCAGCCCAGGTCATTGTGAGACATACGCTTGACAGCATGCGTAACTGGAACTGGCCAAATTTAGATGCTGTAAAGAGCATAGCGCCACAAAAACTGGAAAACAGCTGTTAATGATGATGCTGTGTTCAGCCAACCTTCATCAACGAGCAGGTGAGGTTATGACGTTCATTGCAAAAGTATGCGAGCTCTAGATAAATTACTTGGTCTATAATACGGGAAAACCGGCGGTCTCTTCGGCTGAATAAAATCAACTTACGAGTGCAGACTGTGAACACCGCCCTCGATTTGGGCAGAAGGGCTTCTGTGTTCAAATCGGAGTACGCCCGTGTAAGACATTTTGACCAGATGTTCCAGATTAGCGGCTCCAACCTGTTGCATTCCGTGTTGCACTCCAGCGACCAAATATGGCAGTAACTGGTGCACAGACCCGCGATCCATTATGTTCCCGGACACACCCTGAGCTACTTTGATTCGCTGGGATTCGTTGTAGTACCGAGCTTGGCTTGACGTGTGCTCATCCATAGCCTCCAAACTTCCCATGCCTAATTTTAATTTAAAGAGAACATGAATGAATGAGTGAACCATTACGAACATTCAATCGTGTCACGGATTGGCCCATAGATTCAGCAGTATCATTACATACATTTAAAAAAAACAGTAAGACACCGAAAAACTTTGTGGTCGGATGAATTCGATACTCAGCAGTTAAGTGCAAGTGATGGGGAACACCGGCTGAGACTGCCTGTTTGTTCAAGCGGTACGAAAACCAGGTGTCGAATCGAAAAACGGACCTTCTAGTCTTTCCTAATCCTCCGAAACCACTTAGAACCAAGCTGTCTCTAGCTCAAATAGATAACCACTGGAAGCCTGCTCCATGCGGAAGTTCATTATAGCCTATTCCTGGACTGCGAAACTAATTAACTCCTAGTTCTCAGACTGGTAGTTGCAAGCACGCCATTCTTGCTGAGGCTAGCGAAATCATCTACATTCGGTAGCGGAAGTGATCCTAGCGAACAACTGTCCTATAACCTGAGTGCTACGATGAACTTACAAATAACTATATCAACCAGGGAGCATCAACACATTAAATTGAACCCAGACATACGAACCACAACACAGGCTGAGATTTTGAGTTAGTTATAGCCAGTCCGGGTATGATCCAGCTGATCTTTTAGTATGAAGGCTGTAAAGCACTTATTCCTTTATAATCATCATCAACTGTATGATAGTAAGACGAATTTCGTGTGTTGGAGTCTGTGGTGCGGTGAAAAATACCTGTCATGCTTTGAGCACTCGGATCCACACACTGAGTGATGGCGAACAGCTACCAAGAACCCAATAGGAAGTCATCGTCAGGAGAGATAATCTTAGCGTAGTACAATGGTTTGTGTAGGTCTGTAGTCCACCAAACTACTTAGGAGGGCATCAGAAGTTATCCACACAGGACTGGCTAACGGATTGAAATCAGATCAACACAATCTAGTGATCATTGAGATGGGACACTAGAATATGAGTATCCGAAAATCCATGCCACTTGCTAATATACCAGCACCCACCGCTTGTCTTACGACCAGGTTTTCAGCCGAAGGCTTTAAGCCGTAATTTCACCTTTAAGTGCCCGCCTACAGACAATCATGAAGTTCACAACCGAAACAATTCCACAGAACATCGGCTGTCACGTAATGCCACCAGTCGAGTTGCTTCACTTAGTGCTGACAGAACAGCGAGCGGGTGAAAATACCCTAATGATGACAACTCTCCTATAGCACTAACGCATTTCTGCTCCCTCATCTCATTGATTCTTCTATCTCCACATCGCTAGTCGGTGATGGCTTTATTTGTTATGCATAAAACGCCCGTCGATCTATACTGATGATCTCAGGCATCACGAATTGGAGTTTCGGCTCACTGAACCCCGTCTACTGAGCTGTTCTGTGTCCTCGCTCCGAAGTGAACAGAAGGAATAGTGTGCTATTGCTCGTTCGCTACGGCTCCTCGGTGTTCACACTGCCAGTCTACCAAAAGCGAGTACCATGTCCTCTCTCCTTGAATACAGACTTGTCTAAAAGGACCATTTTGTCTTAGTGCCGCGAATACTATCAAAACCATCAAGACGGCGGAAAACTGGCAATGTTCTGCTTGCTGTTCTTACTTTGAGAATGTTTGAGAATGTAAACACCATTCGGCATGGCACCTGAGTAGTTCTAATCTACGACTATCCAGAATGCTCAGAACCCAAGGTTAGTTAGCTGCTTATTACCTCTGGTGCACAGTTCTGCCTAACGGGCATGACAACTGAAATTTCTGCACCAACGGATGATCTTATGACTTGTGTGTAATACGAAAAATTCATGAGATCACAATGCGTCCTCAGTCAAGTTTTTCTAGCTAACACTAGAAAAAACCACAATTATTGTGAGCTCAATCTCTCAATCGAATTCCAGTAGTGTGGATAGTAGGCCAGCGAACAACCGACTTTCTTAGATAACTGTGTTGAATCCAACTTGACCTTATGATGATTCCCCCATTCATTTGCTTACTCCGCTCAGTTGTTTGGCTTATTCGTACCCGCCACTCACCTTGTCACAGAGGCCATCCTTTCCGGCACTGGTGTGTTGGCATGTGTGTGAATGCGCACTGCTGACCTACTTACCCATGTGCGTTCATGTCCCGTTTGCTGAGCCTGCTTTGACTTGTTTCCTCATGGGTTCCGCGTGATCGCATGTCCAATGAGAATCACGAGACCACCGTCGGAAGGAACGACCGCAACCCACGCTACTGAGCCATCATTCCGCTCACCGTTTTTGGTGTGCGGAAGTTGACACTGCACTGTGCCGGTCAGTGACAGAACTGTGAACTTGTTGACGCTACGAACGTGAACAGTTGAGATTTGTTGTACACATTTGCTTACCCTTGTGTAGATAGCACCGTGGAATTACGAACCCAATTCTTCCTTTTGATATTCGAGATTGTTGAACCTACGCGTCACTCAAAGTTCCGTATCGGGAACCTCAACACTGTCACGATAAATAAAATGATCATAGTTCTCCCAGATAGAGACCATCACAACCAAGTGGTGTGCATTCCCAATCATCGTCCACCAGTACAAACGCACTCACCCCCTTCGAAATGGTTCAAACCTAAAGATGACCACGTTTGAATTGACAGAAGAGGAGCCGTTTATGGATTCCATGTGATCGAATACAGGGTTATTCGACCGGAGACGTCACAAAATACCCTGGCTAATTCATACGCCACTGACGTTTCTATTGACAGTATCTGTCCAGGCTGATTGATTGTAGTAGGCTATCAACAGATCCCCTTTCGCCACTTATATTCCTTCCATTATGAAATCCCTTGAGGTCGCGCGACAGCAAGACGGCAACTTCACTAACAATTCTTACCGTCTATGACTAGAACTCAGGAGAACGGAATTACCTCCAACCAATTCAATCCAAACCTGGACAGATTCAGTCGAGAGGTAGGAGGATGTACCTATTCATGGGCATTTCCAAAAACCAGCTTATGTCCTAAACCCAACAGACTATCCAGAAAGTTTCTGAAAACACTTCGACGTACCTCATCCAGTCTCGCCCTCACGCTCATTCGACAGAAATAGACTCCACGTGTTCGTCATCCTTATCTTCGACTTGAACGCTAACTTATACGCAACCAACGAAATGCACTCACTTGCAAATGACCCCGGTGTTGAGAAAAGACTTACTTTAACATCTGACTCATGATATTTTTCAACTGAAATTGTAACAAAAAGACCGCCTCGTGTTTCCGTTGGCGAGACATTTCAGTATTCTTCAGTGTTATACCAAGAAAAGTTCTGCATACGTTTCCTATGTGTGCTTTTGCTTGTGGCACAGGAATGACGCATCCGGCTCTGACGTTAAACAGTAACAATGACATATGGCGCCGCTCCAAATTAGTGATCCGTCCTCAGGGGAAGGAATGGGTAAATAAACGCCTCTGAAATAGTAGACAGCTTCTTTTAAAGGAGATTCTACTACCCAACACGTGGGACCGTCATGTAGTTCGTTACTGTGACCTCCTGGGCGTAGTTGCCGGTTTTCCTCATTGTGAGTAACGGATCTAAGATAAGAGTGCCATCTGTATTTCCACTTTGTGATACCGTGCAGATTCGTTTTGTGTCTTTCACAGGCATCTTAAAAATGGGATCCTTCCTATAGTGTGATTTCACTTCCGCGTGAAAAAAAGGTCAAAATCTCCGAGTTATGGGGAACGAAGCAAGCACTAACCTCGATACTTCTTCAGCCGCACACCATCAGAGAAGAAGTAGTCACCAGGCGCTTCGGTTGTTCCTGCCAGAAGACCGCCCATCATGACGGATGCAGCACCCAGACTAAGTGCTTTCACGATATGTCCAACATTCTGTATACCACCGTCTGCTATGCAAGGGACGTCGTATCGATGTGCATATTCTGATACCTATGTTGGGAAATGCGGTCATACTTCGAAAGGTAGCACAAGGATATTTTTGGAGCAAAATGCAGAGGAAAAATTAAATAAGTTACTGTGAACAACACATCAAGACCTTGTCCTAGGAACAGGGACTCGATTTAATTTATGTAAATAGGCTAAATGAATGCCTAGAATGTTAAAATTCACACTCTGACTAGTGTTCGTTACCTTGTAGACAGCCTTTGCCTGAGAACGTCCAACCGCTGTTACTTCTTGTGTAATACAAATAGATCCACTGCCCATGCCGATTCTGAGTGCGTCCACACCAGCATCGATGAGATTCTTGGCCTGAGCGCATGTGACCACTTGAAATGGGGGGGGTATGAGTAGAACACAAAGGATTGTGGTGAGTAAGCCTGCCGACTGCTATCCACAATGCATACAACTGATAAAAGGCATCCTTAGAGCAAAAAAGGATTAACTCAACAGCAACCCTTAAAAAATAATCATCATAACAGACATTAGGTTTTCGAGAAAATATTTAGCCAGTAGCATCAGTTTTCTACAGCCATATAAAATGAATCCTGGTAAAGCAAATGACAAACTGTCTACACGACTGATACTCAGCGTTGTTTGAATAGTCGAATGAATTCTGCACGCTGACTGATGAAGTTCTTTTTTAATAGAATCCTTAGATGTAAATTTAAGCTGCTCAAAACCACGCACATATGGGATTTGTTTGGATTGAACTGATTTAATAAATTCCAATCGGAGCTGCGGTGGATCGTACCTTTGTTTCCGTTCCAAGCAACGTCGGTTTTGCAGTTCATTAAATTCGTATCCATTCTCCGTTTGGTGCGGATATATCAGAATAATCACAGCATAAGTGCGGTTCAAAAAGAGAACTCATGAAGAAAAACCTGCAGTGTGAGCACAATGAGGAGGAGTTCTGTGTAGTTCCGTTTAATATCGGATATCGCTAATTCGCCGCACTTGAATGGGACACTCGGTATTTTATTTATTAATCCCAACCGTTGTGGTTTCAGAATCCAGTAGACAGGTTTAATTCTCGTTTTTCGAAAAAGTTTGGTGACAATCGGTGGATTTATTGCTGGGCAACGTTTCGCTTTTGACACAAAAGCTTCGTCAGGTTTAATTCTCGTCCAACTGCGCGAGACGAATGTGATCAATGAGCAAGTGCCGCGACCAATACAGTCAAAGAGACAGAAGGAAATAAATAGCCGCAGTCAAATCAGTGAGTGTCACATGGGATAAAGGCTTGCTGTTTGAAGACTTAGACCTTTGACGTCTGAGGAATGACGCAAGAAAATGTGTCAGGTTAAGAAGCTAGAATTTTCTTTCGGAGGGCGCATCTACTCCATCTGAAAGATTGTCTCCGTGGAAGAGGAATTGCAACTTCGCGCACCGATAAAAGCCTTCCGAAGCTAATATCTTCTTGAGAATTTCTCTCCTGGATTAAAACCACAGCCAAACGCTATAGAAATAGTGAGGATACAACCTTGCCTCATCTGACAAGCCACGCAGCTTACTATCTATTGTCTCTAGATGAATGCTGAACGCATATGGTTCTGGTTATTGGGATGATGCTTTTTTCGTCGAATCGTCCCCAGTGCAGAATACTGCTTGTTATGGTACGCTGAAACGTAAGAGTGTGATAAGAATTTGTACCCAATGCAGGAGACGTTTAAAAATCCGGGAGACGCAACCGTATGTAGCACCCAGGATGAATGCTTGAGTGTGTAGCTGGACCAAGCTAATAGTCTGTACTCAAGCGTCCAGCCCAAGTCAGTGTGACTATCCGAATAGAACCACGGATAAGTGCAGACAAGAGGGGTCAGTTGAATCACGAGAAGCTATCTGTCGACTGACTTTAATGTGATAAGGCACAGTCGACAGTTTCGCCGTGACTGATTTGACAAAATTTGGTGTAGGACAGTGAGCAGCATGTCAGAAGCTTAGTTGCATCCACATGCGTCACGCCGATACGCACTTGATTAGGATCAAATGATTCAATGAGACCCCCTCCCACCACAACATTTGAGATTGTGTGTTTGCTGACATATCACCTTTCCTGCCTGCTGTTGGAACGACCGCTAACGAAGAGTTCAATCAATCAACTAGTACTTACCTAGAACTGGAGTCTCATGCACGCACCTCTCTAGCTTGACTGCTGTTACTTTATAAATGCTTGGTCTCTAGTGACCTACTGAAATTGTTTGCTGCCTGATATAATATGTCCTGACCGCATAAACGCAATGATTGGGATTTACCCCCTATATTCTTATCGTTTACTTTCAATAGAGTAGCTGAGTTTACGATCCACGTGTTGGCTAGGATACTTGGAATCAATTGGAAACGCGTATTTAGACTCTCTGTTCCGAGGATGTTACAACCTCTACGATCCGGAACAGGCTGGTTTCTTCTCGGTCTATGTGAATTTCGTCGCCAGAATAATGGAGTTTAGCAGCATTCCATTGTCAGTACGTGACTGATGTAATGCATCATTTGAAGAAGTGTGCGTAATAAAATCCATTGGACAAAGAAATCCGTACTACGAATTGGCGTATGATAAAGTCCTCCTCTCCCAGTGCGATTCGGTTGAATTAGATTTTGCGACGCTGCTGAAAAATCTGACCGCGAAATGTCAACGGAACAACCTGGCTATCAAACGTGGCCGACTGAAAGATTGAGTCATTAGAGGGAGAGCAGTTTAATAGAAAGAAATTCAGTCATAATTGACTATATGGTCAGCTACCTAGCTGCAGACTCAGCTTTTTATGTTCTCGAATCCTGTGTCTCGAGAAGTGCGTCGGGATCGTTCACTAGGGTATCGATTTGATAAATCGCACCGTAGGTTGCCGACAGAAATCCATGTTTGAGCCTTCGAACCATGGAATAAGATCGGAAAAGCTAATTATTCCATGCAACGTATATTTTCTATTTTTCCAAAATTACTGAAGTGGAGCACCCCTACGTCAACGTGAGCATTGGTTATCTTGGGCACTAATTTGATCGAGTTAAATACTACACTTAGTCCCCAATTTCAGATCGGTTGACATTCTGTGAATGATAGCTATTTAGCGCATTGGATGATTAACCTGTTGGACAAGTCAGCCATTTTGATGTCGATAGAAATAATCCCATATTTACGTTCCCTTGACTTGTTCCAGGTTGTAATGATGGAAGAAAAAATTTAGTTATTATAAAAGAACTGTATCTATTTAGTGACTTCATTTTCAAATGACCGTTCCTGATCTCGGGAGAATCGACTCTTATGATGTCACAGACCACCGCAGTCCATGGTTTATGGTCGGGAGCGGGCTCCGCACACATCGGTCCACCGTGGTTTTTAGCGATACGATTTACAGACCAGTTCGAGATGTGAATAGCTGGGTAGAGTTAGACACAGGCGTATCCAGGCATTTTTACTTTATCCAGTCAACTGTATAGGGGAAAGTAGCTGCGCAGAAGGGACAACTGTGTCGCATGTCACCCGTTACTGGAAACTCCGCTTCCTTGCCGTATATACGAACATTCGGCTGACGCGAGTGTATTAGTATCTGATCAGCTTAAAAAGTTGGTGGCATAAGGCTGGTGCATTTGTAGTAACCTCCGGACTTGGTTTAATGACTGATCCGGGAAGTTGTCCGTATCCTTGCAGGGACGTCAGTCACGCTAGTCTTCAGACTGAGCTTTATAATTGACCTTGACATCGTTAACAAAACTAAAAATTATACACAAACCCAGTATTTAACGTGACCTCAGACGAAAACCGGTACTCTGTGTAGATAGTGCGTTAGCGAGTTTTGACATGCCCTATGCTATCTTTGCAAGGATTTTGGTTTTATCCCAACTAAACAAGGATTGCAGACAATTCTCCCCTACTCAGAATCAGTTTACTTGGTTGATCTACCCGTGGAGCTTGCAGAATTGGTTCAAAATAGGACCTACTGTACTGCTTCGTAAGTAAGACGGCATCAAATGGTTGACGTTGAAAGCAAAGACGAACGAGAGTATCACCCGAACGCTTTATTGGGTTTCAGCCCCGCGGCACGACCTCCACTGATCAACTGACGCCATGCACCTTGACCAAACCAATATGAAATCGTTTCGTTGCGCAGTGTACGCATTTTTCAAATACGGTATTGGCAAGTGCTTTAGGGAATTCTGGGAATGGGTGTTAGTTACAAAGACCTCACTGAAGTCTGTACAACTAAAAAGATAACTGTTTTCACAGAGTTCACCAAGACCAGTAGCCAGTAGAACGATTATCCGAACCGACGCGTGCATTCTGATCGCAACAAATGGGACAAGGTGGGTGACGTGTGAGATGGTAGCTTCCAAATGTTCTATGGAACGCATTTTACAACGGGATCCTGGGAAAGAGCTTATACCTGAATGGTCACATCCATTGATTTGCTTGTTGAATGCATCACTGCAAAGACCAATGGGATGATCACCCGAGCTGTGTTCCGTTGTATGGTTAAAGCAAGAAACTCTGTGCTCTTGGCTGCATAGTTGCGGTAGAGGCAGTAGTCAGATACCATTTCCGGTTACCTGATACGATTCACGTTGGACAAGGAGATAAGACATTCGCGTGGACAGCCGATGTCTATTTGGTAAGATTGGGAGACCTTAATAGTGATGAGTCTGCCGACGGTATTCGTCGGAGTACTCGGTACAAAACGTGAAATCACTGCAAAGAGCAATGGGATGATCACCCGAGCTGTGTTCCGTTGTATGGTTAAAGCAAGAAACTCTGTGCTCTTGGCTGCATAGTTGCGGTAGAGGCAGTAGTCAGATACCATTTCCGGTTACCTGATACGATTCACGTTGGACAAGGAGATAAGACATTCGCGTGGACAGCCGATGTCTATTTGGTAAGATTGGGAGACCTTAATAGTGATGAGTCTGCCGACGGTATTCGTCGGAGTACTCGGTACAAAACGTGAAATTACCTTTCTGTATTGAGTAGGCCGGCTTATCCCCTTGTAACCCCCAACTCTAGTGAGGTGCAAAGTACGCCACTTTCAGACGAAGTTGCGGCACCGGTAAAACCGTGAAACTTCATTGAGTTAAATCACAGTTTAATACAAGTAACGTCCCCAGGATCGTCCAGTTACTCAATGCTGAAACTCTCGTCTTTGTAAAAGAATTCTGACCTGCAAGGCAGTAGGGAAGGTACGACAAGCTGTCAAACAGAATCATCGTCATGCAAGCTGAGTTAAGAAACTGACCGCTTGGATACATTGATTCCAGATCAATGAGCCGACAAGCAGAAGTGAAGTCCGGTTACCACTGGTTGTTCGCCTCATTGCAACACAATATTACACAACCCGTACACATTATAGCGAGAACGGATCGATAGTTGGGCGGGCTAATTCTGGATGGAATGGAGCACTCAAGTTCGAAGATCCCGTACTATCGTGAAAAATATAAGCAACCGTCAGTCTTAAGGATCTCAAATTTCTCAGTTACGTTGATAGCTTCCGAATGAGTTGCAGAAAAACTTTACACGAAACCTGAAAGGACTGGAACCGAGGGGGTCCACATAAACGATACTTGAACTTTTCACCTGGGATATTCGAATCCAACATTCCTGAGGTCTACACCCGCTGTCGTCAGCTGTAACACCCTTCCGGTGCCTAGCTGCCATGCCATCCGCAGGAAGCACGAGGGCTGGGATACTACCAGGTCGCCCAAGCCTAGATAGGGGAAGTCGGGACGCCTAGGTCGAGTTCGAACCACGGACCTTCCGATCAGTAAATTCGCGCTCTAACCACTTGAGCCTTCTCGCCCCCTTGAGGCACATACCCTAGAATACATAGGCTTCGTATATAATGCAGGGCGGGAATTCAATTCCATAGCCGAAGAGCTCCCCCAAGCTTCCCAGCAAACTGAGAAATGTAGGAACAGAGGGAAGTACATTGGCTCAACAGAGTGAAAAATAAACTTACCGTTCCCACCGACGATCTGCAGGTTCGGGTATGCCGATTTCACCTGCTTGATCATATCGAGTTGGTAGATACTGTTCCCCTGGGATGAATCCTGCAATGAAAGTTGAGGTCCACATGACCAGAAAGACTACTAACTGCATTGTAAAAAAACCACTGTACTAATTTGTCGTCCAAAAGGCAGCTTTGTGGGAAATTTGTTAGCACATATCTTCATTGGTTTCGTTATCGGATACATGTAGTGGGTTGGCATCCGTCCCCAAAATGGACTGTTACATCTAACCACGCCAAACGATACAGTGAGTAATGTCACATACAGTTCGCCCTGGGGCGCTTGTGCATTAATTTGAACGGATTGTACCAAGTATAAACTGAATGAGACCGGAGAGTGTACAGTGGGGACCGTTCAAAAGCCATCATCCTGTCGAAGTCTCGCCTGTAACTGTAATTTCAAGTGGACACAACTGAGCAATTTAGGTCCAGTGCATGCAGAGGATCGTCCCGTGGCCCAAGGGAGCACATGCATATAGCCAGTTAGTACCAGCTACCTACTAAGGTCCCTTTCGGAAAGTGCATTCTCTGATCTGCATACGACCCTGAAAGATGGCGGGCGCTCTGCTGGTTGAACGGCACAAGCAAATACGGTTATCCAATCCTTTGGTATGTGCTTCATATCCACAAAGGACAGGGTTACGCTGCGAGACGTGGGGCTTTTGGACATGTCCTTAAGAATTTAAGGAGAGACAGTGGGACTTGTGGAACACCGTATCTACCTCGGAAGATGCATTAGCTCTGAAGGTATTATGATAGATGAAATCAACACAGGAATCCACAAGGCCAGAATTGCCTGTCAATTCGCTCCACTTGGGGGTCAAAAGGACACACCACTGGGTCTCATAGTGAAAGGCCTAGTAACTTCGAGTGGAGGATTTGAGATATTCTCGGGTCCCCCATCACCAGTGTCTTGGGACTAGGGTTACAATTAGCTGAAATCATGAGTGCGCAATAAGGCGCTGAATAAACGAGTCTTCAGTGAAGTAGATGTTTCAGTCAAAAAACGCATCCATCAGTGCTGGACGCACGCGCAGTTAACGTTTGGCGAGAACGTTGCGTTCGGTGCTTGATTTGGAGTATCAGAAACCCAGAATTAGGCTGAATATGATGTACTCTCTTCGTCGCTTACACTCAGAACAGGGCTGGGTGAAAAGAGCTCTGGCAGGTAAAAGGTCCTCCTCTGTTATGCGGAGTACGGGTCCCAATGAGCGTAACCTATGAGGCGTGAATAATCAATCTAACGAGGGAGAGTCCCCTCTTCCCGGGACCATCTAGCGTACCTGAACTTCACAAGCACCGAGCGAAAAATAATTTGATCACTCATCATGCTGGTTACCAAACAAATCGCATTACCTGCATGCTACGAACTTTAAAGGTCGAAGAAGGTGGACTAAGAACGCTTAATTGATGGAGAAATCTCATGTGTAATCCTACTTTTAAGATCAAACTTTTTCAAATCGCGTGCAAAGGACTGTTAGAATCGCAGGCTATCTTTGTTCCCAGCCACACAGTTGGTCAAACTTGAGCCTGAAGGCACAATCCCCGAAACGCATCAACGGCACTTCACCGATCGAATCAACGACACTCGCTGGGCTCCACTCCGCGGTGCTCGCAGATTCAAATGGTGACAATTCAATCCATAAATGAACTTTTCTGGATAGTATTTAACACATATTCATATCATATGTTTTCGATATGAGCACCATAATGGTTGGTTCAGTTGAGTTACCACAAGAGCACACGAATTCTTTTTATCGGTGACGAATAGCGAAATATTCCGGCAATATGGTAAGGGTTGATGAGCGAAATCCTGATCATTGATTGAGTAGGATAGTAGGGTGTTGCCACTGGTTGTTANTGACACTGCACTGTGCCGGTCAGTGACGGCCTGGTTCACATGTTGACACTACGAACGTGAACAGTTGAAATTTGTTGTACACATTTGCTTACCCTTTTGTAAACAGTACCATAGAACTAGGAACCCTTTTCTTCCTTTTGATATTCGAGATCGTCGAACCCACGCGCCACTCAAAGTTCCGTATCGGAAATCTCAACACCCACCAAGGCACTTCCAGATTGCTCTCAGGACTTTCTGAGAATTCCATCCAGATACATCACAAAAGTGTTGTGGGTTAATGCGACAAAGGTGTGGACAGCGAATAACTTTGATATATATTTGTATGTATTTGGAGGTCAGGCGCGGCAACAAGTGTCCCAGGCTTCTCCATCTTTGAAACACACAAGTACCAGAAAGGACGTTGGCTGGCAAGATTGCGCATGAACCACAGAGGCAGGTCAACACAAGGTCATAAATTACGGATGTTATCAGTTGATAAAAACCAACTGGGCGTTTCGGATGACTGTGTTTGGCACGGTAAGAAAGTGAACTTTTTCGTGGCCTCATTCACAACAGAGAATGTTTTAGAATTCTGCTGAGTTGAAGGACCCCTTGAATGTCGTTTACAAACTTGATCTGTGTGCATGAGTGGGCGCTACGCCAAGGGGTTTAGTGGAAAGTAGGTATGCCAGGTTTTCGCACTGGATTTTCTACCTAGACCATCGGGGGCAGAGCTTCGTCCGTTAGAAGAGACTGAATTTCAAGATGAGCAAAAAAAGTAGCACGAAANNNNAAGAGTGTATCAACGCTAGCATCAAACTCGTAATTCAGTCTTCCTTCAGTGGAAGCTTAAAGGCTACAAGCTGGTTGCGGTCTACAAGTCCCAGCAGCCGGGTGCAATACATACAGTGAAACAGGTACATAATATCGTGACAACAAATGCAGATAAGGATAGGCCCCCCAACTGTGTACAATAGGTGAAACAACACCTGACGATGGACCTTAAGGATGATATAACTGTAACGCTATCGTGTCTATAATGGATACGAGTGAGAACGATGGTGTCCTTACATAAGAGACGCCGTAAACCGTTTCCGGGCAAGTGCATACGTAGTATCCGGAGA